TATTCTCTTACTTATACACTTAAACGCGGTTGGCATGATTGCAGGCACTTCGCCGAGAGCCACTTGTTACTCGGTGAGAGGATTCTCGACCCTCGTTTCACCGTGATGTTACCTAAGAAACTATATAAAATCGCTCTTCTTATACGGCATTCTTACCTGACTCCGACGTTTCTACGTCCGAGAATACGAACCCGGCCGGGTTTGTTACTTAACTTTATGACCCGCATCGATCAACTCGATCTCAGAATTTTGTCATTCAAACTACGCGTCACCCACCCACGGCACCTCACACACGGCACCCCGAATTTCGCGTCGAACGGTTGTAATCTCGCGGTACCATCAGAGTTTATATAAAATTTATAAAATTTACCGATGCGTTTTTAAACCTATTACGAATCCGTCAGCCACACACGCAACCAACACGCGCGCGAACACCTGCGAACAAATACTCGTCGCGTTACGTTATAAATAATTCCGCATTCATAAAGGCTGAGCACTTTAGAGAATGCGATTTCAGCCCGGCGTATGAAAGCGAGAGAGTATAACGTAGGAGGGAATATAATACACGCTCGCGCGATCTCTCGATTGTGATCGTACAAAATATGACAAAAGATACAAAGGTAAAAGAGAACGAGAAGCATAGAAAATAATAGAATCCGAGATCTACGACTTAACCGTAAAATATCAGGACAACCGAATTTGGGGAAGCCTTTCTCATGGGACAAACGTAACAACGATAATACAATTGTCATATTTTTTAATCTTTTCTTTTGAATCTTTTGAACCGAACACAGTAAATATTGAAAGAAACGTTAATATAAATGCAAAAAATTATTTATACCATTGTAAAATATTTTAAGTATTTTGAAAGCTATTCTCAAAAATGCAGAAATTACACAAATAAAATTTTAGAGAGCGTGGTTTAAACTTATTTTTTTTCATCACTGTAACACAAATAGCTTTCAGAAAAGGATTAACATTAAAAGAATTTAAAGAAAAGCAGGGCGAGCAAAGTTAGCACAGTTGTTTCTGATCATCAAACTAAAATTTACAAAGACATAAAAACTTGTAAAGGAGACGCTTGCAATAGCGGAGAGAGATTGAAAAGTAAACTTTAAAATATTATCAGAAAATTGAACAAGAAATCTGATTCTTGTCGAAAAAAAGAAACGATCCGCTTAAAAACAATCTTAATTGTAACTCGATCCATTCATGCAGAGAGAAAGTTTTCTCTTTAATACTATAAATAATTTAACAAAGTCAATAAACCGCAAACGACGCGTATGAGTTGAATACATCACGCGGAATAAAGATATATGTAGATTTTCTGTCAAAATACACGCTGGTAACTCACAAAGGCATTGATACGCAACCACATAACTTACGCACACGTACACTAAGAGTCTAAAAAGTAGTCGTGTGAAAGATAATCAATCTCTCACGATATAATATAACTTGTCCTTTGAATTGAACATTTTCGTTCAAGATTGTTTTTCCACGAAACTGTTCAGCTTTGTCAAAGTAATACAATATCATCCAACATGTGTTTTACATGAGATATATGTATAAGAATATAAAGTAAAATATGCATAAAATTATTAATAATAAAAGTAGAAAAATGTGACAGTCTTTTTTAACATCACAAAAAGTTTTATACTTTGCTAATATAAAACGACAAATGTCAGTCAGTTTTTTAAAATATAATTTGATACATCTGAAAATTATTAATCTAGAAATATTTTATTCACGCTAGAGATTATATAAAAATGCTAAAATTGATCGTTCATCATGTCTTATTCGTAAAGGATATATAATAATATACCGACGTGAAACTTTTTGGAAATTAAGCGTTTTCAAAACGTCAATACGTTTTTAATCTATGCAATATTCACGTTTTTAAATTTATAAGAAATATAATTCGTAAAGTGTACTGAAAAGTACAATTATTTTTAAAAGTACAAGGTTGGAATATAATCTTTTGGGCAATGTGCAATAACATTTTTAACAAAGCGCAAAAATCTGATAAACTCGACCCGCTGTAGCTTGCTCCCCGACGAGTGGTTTCTCCATCCTTTTATCTACATCCTTTTTCCCTCAATCCTTTCGCGTCTTCTCTTGTACTTAGACCTATAATAGAAATATCGAGCTGCGAGACTGACAGAATGAGTGATCGACATAGTGGACTCTTCTCTCTCTCTCTCTCTCTTCTGTTTCTCATCTAACAGAGAAGGAATCAACTCAAAGTACTAGCCATATGTCAGAGCATTCGAGAATCCCCAGAGAGGTTTTACGCTCTTGGCTTCCATTTAATTATTGAACTACCCTTTTTGCCTCATTCACGCTGTAAACTCTTGTATTTCTTTTTTATTTCTTTTAGAAGAACCCTCGATTGAACCTTGAGCTCTCATAGAACAAAGAGTGACCGTTGCACCGCGAAAAAATCTATGTCTGCGTAAAATTAAATAAAAAAAATATCTATATGTAATGTTTACAAAATTATATTAATGTGTACTCTATAAATACGTTTTAATTAAAAGGAATCAATTTTTTTCTATTATTAGAAAATATATATGTATAAAAAAATTGTTATCAAAGGAAAATACGTTTTCTTACGTTTTCTATACTTTTATATTTATTTATGACTACATATGATCAATAATAAAAGTATTGAAAGAATTTGTCGAACCGGTGACAGAATGACCGATCGATGATACGGCCGTGCTAGCAAGGTGGAAACAAAAATCTCCGGAGGACCGTCTCTCTATCTCTCCACATGCACGATGATACTCGATACACATATTTCCAGGCACGCATTTTTTCGCCATTGGCAGAAATATTTTGTGTATGCGAATTTGAGTGTGTGTGTGAGAGAGAGAGAAAAAACACGAAAAACAGACGGGACAAAAACAGTGAAAAGAACCAAAGATACTATAAATATTATTATTTTATTGTTCTACTTTTTTATCGATTGTATAAATTAATATAATATATTGAATGCATACGGTGATACAATTCCATATGAATTTATTTCCTCTGTCGAGTATATCTTTTACGCACACATTTTTCCAGCTTATTTGAACGCGGCGGAAAATAACACAGGTTATTGCGATACTCGATAGCTGTGCTATCGTTAAACAACAGGATATCAAATCGAGCGCCCCGATATGCAGTTTACTTTTCATGGAATTCGTCCATGATAACTTTCCATGAACACTGAAAACTATTAATAAAAGTATCGCAATACACGTGCGATTTTGCTAAGAATGATAGAACGAACTTTCAAACAAATTTTCTGCACTGACACGAAAATGCCTGTGAATCTCAAGTGTTACAGTTGATTGTTTCCGGAGCGATGGGTTAATTGTTTGCGTTTCCCGACGCTTCACACTACCATCAAAATCACGCAAACATGCTTTCGATATCACATCGAGTTGATTTTCGACGATTCGCGGACGATATTGCATACGCATGTTGCAATTAATAAGCGCGTAGTTACGCAATTCTAGCCTGCAATTGGGAGCATCGGTTTGTGCACTTAGAGCCTTATGTGGAATTAATTTATCATTCGGCGGCAACGCAATGATATTGAAGTGCCGTCAGCTTGTAAATGATAATAATTTGCGCGGGGTTGTTTGCGGTGAAACTCGGTGCATGCGAAAACATCAATGAAAAAACAAACGAAATACTGCAAGCAGGAGATGCAGTAATGATATAGATCAGATAGAAAGATTGAAAGTTAGCGTTTCTATCTGTTTCTTACATTATTATGCCTACATCAAAATAATGTAAAATTTTTTTCGTAAAATAATATCGTAAAAATCCATAAATTAAATAAAATTAAGATTTTGAAATGCAAAATCAGCAAGTGTGTTGTTAAACAGTAAAATGATGTTAAAATCAGCAAGTAGATTTTACATCACGCAACGCACGCTTTCCAAGTACAATAGCCACTACTTGAATAATGTAATGACTGTTCGATGTACGAAGCATTGCGATCAACAATTAATTCTAAGAAAATTAAATTAGAAAATCAAAAACTTATCCTTCTCTAAAATATTGTCTTTCACGGCTTAGAGAGATACACGAGATGTTTAAAACAAAAAGCATGGATCAGCTGCAGATCAATTTCACCGTACGACGGAGTGCGCAGTTGAATGTACAAAGTCACAGGATGCATCATCTCGATTGCAATTCAATTTCGCATTGTATATAAAGCTGCTCTCTGCCCCGAAGGTGCTCTACGTCGAGGAGGAGTATCGCTAACCGCGTTAATATCGGTTTCCAGGGGCAATTGAGCGAGCTTCGCCGTTGTACCTTGCCACTTGATGACGAGAGGGAAGGGTCCATCTAAATATAACGTTCCAGCGAGAGCAGTATCGAGGTAAACCTGGATAATATCGATCTTCGAAAGCGCGCTGGCGACGCACGGTACTTGCGAAAGTGTAATACCTGTCGAGAGAGCGCGGAGAGAAAATGGATATCCACTGTAGGTAGCAGGATTGAACCGCTTTCGATTGATAATAGCACGAGAATAGTGGCTGAAGATACTGCATCAACGAAAGATCACTCGACTGCAGATTGATCAAAAAATTTATGTCAAAAACTACATTTTACTTACAAAACGCGTATTTTTTTTAATTTTGCTATGATTCTTTTAGTCACAAGTTACGCAACTTTAAAACTAAACCTGCATTTTCGACGCTAATGCTAATGCCGGTGGTAAACGTAATAAAAAAAAATAGAATTTTTTATTTAGGCCACACAAGCGTAAAAAATAAAAACTGCGTAAAATTATCAATCTATATATTATCAATATATATATTCACACATAAATATGAAAGCAATTTTACCATTCTCAGAATATATGAAAAATAAATTTATTAATAGATTATGTAACAAATATAAAACGTATTGATACACGAATTTTGAGAGAAATAACTAATTCTTCTACGCAATTCAAAAGTGTGAAAAAGAACGAATCTGTTTAACTGTTTCGACTTTGATTTTTATTTGTTTTCAAATAATACATATCTATATTGTTGGCATGCGTGCGATTTTATTTACATATAACTGTGTACTTCTTATGATATCTCTTCCCAACACTGTTATTAGTTCCTTTTGATTCCTCAAAGTGAAATATCTCAGATAAATATACTTCCGATATTAAAAGTTTGTGATAGGGATACATTACTGCGATATTAATTATTTGTTACAAATCACTCCATTCGATAGACACATAATTTTAATATATACGGTGAGTAAATAAAATTTATAAATATAAATCATTAAAAATATATAGAAACATGCCGAATACAGTGTCAGTTATTTCAAAGTATGAGTCAGAGCCTTCTAACACAGCTTCATATTTTTCTCAAAATTATACAAATTATTAAAGTCTCTTTTAATTTAACTCATTGATATCTTATTTTATCGCGTTATGATAAAATGCTGATGTGTGAAACCAATTTCAAGCATCATATTCTATTACAGTCATCTTAAAAATTTTTAATTGAACAAGAGTCTTTTGAACATTTAAAGCTATCGTTTTCAATATACAAGATCCTTTTCAACTGAATCTATATTGAACAAAATCAGTAAACGGATATAGAAAATGCTAACTTTTGTTGTTAAGAAATGTGTGTATAACGATCATGCAAATATGAATAAGTTGTTTATTAATATTTGATATTAAAATGCAAATTTGCACGATCATTTCAAATATCCGAACATTAATTTTAATTTATTGCCAAATTTTATGTATAATTATCAAAATAATTCAACTTACATCAATTAGAAATCATTTATATTGTGCATCAATGTCTGGTAAAAAGTATACAATTTTAAAATGTTGAAAATTATTAAGCTTTCTATAACTATCGTTTTTGTAATTACAGATAATTAAAACAAAATGAAATTATTGAAACTGTTATTAAACATTGCTATAATTATTGGTATAATAGCACCTTCTGCAGCTGAAGATGCTTTCGATTATGGCGGTTACCGTTTATCGGAACTTGTAAAGCCAATACATTATGATATCGCTTTTAATTTACACAACCCCCAACTTGTTATCAATTTTACTGTCAAACTTTACGTTGTATATGAGACACTGTACATTGCTTTTCACGGACCAGCACCGCAATTAAAGAAAAAGGAATTTTGTATAAAGAGTGTAATGGATAAAGAGGAGTTAGCGTATTTGACAGACAATGAAAATAAAATTTATGTTCCATATAAACAAAACGTATATCAGAAGGGCAGAGATGTTCATTATTTTCTTCTCCTCTAAAGTACAACCTGGCGAATACAATCTACGGATGAAATTTACTCCTGTTAAACATAACGGTTTTTTTACATTCTTTAATACAACTCACACACACCAAGAAAATAAAATGTAAGTAAATGTTAAAATTTGAAAATGTATTGTTATAATGTAACATATTGCAAAGATGTATTACTATACGTTCTATGATAAAAGATAATATAATATAATATAATAATATCAACAAAATATTATGTAATACAGTATGTGAGAAATGTTAAAAAATATTATTCTCCAATCGTCAACCACAAACTGCAGTTATATTTCTTTTTTTTTTTACTTGATTGTTACGTTTAGTGATATAAGTTTTTAAAATATTTTAGATTGGCCGCAACATATTTCCAACCGATTGGAGCTCGACATTTATTTCCATGTTGGGACGAACCGCAAATAAAAGCTACTTTTCAGATTTCAATCACTTACAATGAAAAATATACATTTTTATCAAATACACTTTTGAAAAATATTAATAATGAATCTGACTTTCCAGATTTGGTATTTTTCAAAGAAACACCTGAAATACCAGTTCATCTCTTAGCAATTGCGGTGATAGAAGATTCTACCCATTTGCTTGAAGAAAACATTGCTCTATATTATAGAAACAAGCTACCTCCTAATGTCATACAGTTAGCATGGGACGTTGCCAAAAAAGTTACAAAGTATTTAGAATCTACGTTTAGAAACCTGGAAGTAATTGGAGAACGAGTGAATCATGCCATAATTCCAAATTATCCAGATGATGGCATGTCTAGCTGGGGACTCATTTTATACAAGTAATAAATTTCCATAGATTTAACAGAATATTGAATGATTATAAAAAGTACAGATAACAATCAATTTAAAGTTTTATCAGATTTATTTTTATCATATTTAATATTAAAATGTAAAGTTTACTTTTTTACATAAGTTGATTTGTATAGTTCATAAATTAATTAAGAAGACACATATTGCGTTACTGAAGTTCATCGAATAATAATTACATTAATTTCAAATGATTTTTAGAGAAAGTGCTGTTATTTATGATGAATCCGAAAATTGTATTACGCGACAAATAGAAGTGGCAAATTTGGTAGCACGTCAAGTAGCTTATCAATGGTTTGGCAATATCATCAAACCAACTTGGTGGTCTGATCTATGGTTATTCAAAAGTCTTGCCAGATTCTTTGGAGCAGATGCCATCCACAAGAAACAGGTAGCACAAGTAACATTTCGTTATACTAGCGCTAGTAAATAAACGTTCTTTTCAACTGTTTTTGATAATGTTTGATTATTAATAATTATATTGCATTAATTTAATTAATTACAAACATTATTCAAAAAATTATTTTAGTATATTCTTTAATATATATTAACAAAAAATGTAAAATTTTTTAGAGCAATAGCATTTCACTATTTAATACGCAGATGTGTTAACGCTGATGCAAATGTGTTCTTGATTAAGAGTCAGTTAATTACATAAGTTCTATCGTTTGCAGATCTTTAAAGACAGCAGCCAGATAACGCACCTGTTCATAGTTCAGAATCAATACGAATCTCTTCACTTAGATACTGTCGTACATTCTTTTACCAGTAAATTTCATTTTAAATTTGAGAAGTCCTCTGACATTGAATCTCTTTCCTCTCTTCCTCCTTACAGAGGTAAGACTAGATCAACTAGATACTTAACATTTATCTATAACTTTTTGACTAGAAAAATCTTATACGATACATATATGAATATATGTGTATTCGTTATCTCAGTATATTTTTTATCATATGTATATACTACTTCATAAAAAATAAAGAACATTTTTCAGACGCTCAATGTTGAACAATTTTCAAATTATTGAAACTTGGCGAAAAATCATCGCAAACAAAAAATTAAAAAGTATTTTATAGCTTGAAGTTTATACTTTTACGCGTGCTTTTGATTACTCTTAAAAATTTTTTATTTTTACCTTTCTAAATTCAAATAAAGACACATTACTTTGTTCTTAAAATTACGTACTTTTAACACTCAGGAGCTCAATAATAAAATTATCTCGTAAAATTTATAAGTGTCATAGTCTAAAATTTAGCTATAAAACGCGGTTTTTTTTAAATTTTATCGCAATATTTTTTGTCCGAGTTAAATGACTTTGAAGTCCACATTTTGTGAAAAATGACGTTTACTGCCAGTATTAGTTTAAAAAAAAAGGTTTAGTTTTAAAGTCGCGTAACGCGGCGAAAAAAAGCAAAGAAAAATTAAAAATAACACTTTATGTAAATGAAATAATGTAGTTTTTAACACTTGTCATCAATTTTTCAATGCGAAAAATTTTTTTTTTAATTGCAAAGTTTTTAAAGTTTGAGATTTCAATGAATTTCTTTTTTGGTTCAAAAATATAAAAATTAAAAATTTTTAGAATGCATCTTATATCTCGTAAGAGTACAAACTTCAAGCTTTAAAATAAATATTTATTTTATGTTTTGTTTGCGATAACTTTTTGCTGAGTTTCAGATTTGAAAATTGCTCAATTTTGGGCATCCAAAGCATATTACCTATTTTTTGCAGAGTAATGTATACGTATGTATATATACATATATAAAAAATATAACAAAATTTTTTATTCATACTTTATTTATATATAAATTTTTATATAACATAACAAATAGAAGTATAATAAAACTTGAAGATAATTTTTTTTTAATCAAGATAAACGTTTATAAATTTATTTTAATTATGATTATTCATGTTGTATAATATAAATTATAGCAACCTGTATAATGCGCATGTGGCATCATATACTTACCAACAAAATCTTTGTAATGGGTATTAATAAATATATAACTCTAGCGTAAGTAATAATATAATAATATAATAATTAAATTATAAAAGAAAAGTCAATCATGGGCCATCATAATAAAAAATTATTAAAAAATAAATTGGCTGTATTGACCCAGAGCCGGGTGTTAGATGCTCAAAAATAATAAGTAACTAAATTGTCAATTCAAACGTTTCGGCACATTTATTTCGGCCATCTTCAGTGATAATATCAAAATAAGTAAACAAACGTTACAAAAGAAACATGCAATAATAAAACAAGTATGTTCCGCAAGGCTAACGCATATCGGTTGACAAAATTTAAATATAATAATTACATATAATAAAAATAATTATAATTACATATAATTAAATATAATAATTACAATCATATTATGGAATGCAACGTAAAAATTTCTCAACATTTTAGCATTGCCATATTCCTTCGTCGATTACGATTGTTTTAATATTTTTATCAGTTCAGATTTACCCAACATTTCCTTTTTAGAAACTTCTTTTTTTCTGGAGTGGTGTATATTAAAACACACATTAATAGAATAATGGATATTTTCTAATATCCATTAATAATCTAATAAAGTGCTACTATAAATAATATTAATTTCTGTAAATTTAGCGTACGTCAATCGGCAATTTTCTCTGATTTCTGCTTGAGTATGGAAGCTTCATTATTTGACACATTCGGATACGTTTCTTTTTATAACTTCGACGTAAATATAATAGAAATAATGAATAATTGGATAACACAATGGTATAATCTTACACAAGATCCTGTGCTTCATGTAACGCGAGAATATAATGATTCTTCAACGACACTATTGAATATGAAATTCATTCAAGAAGGGTTAGATAATATCACAATACCTGTGACTTATACTACACAATCTAATATCAATTTTAATCGAACTTCGTTTCATGATGTCATGTGGTTACAAAATGGAAAACTGTCTTCCAGTTACGACTCACATTCAAATTTAAACATAAGTACAAATGATTGGATTATAGTCAACCTACAACAAACTGGTAAATATTAATCGATAAATTTACTATTATTCATTTATTTGCTTTCTCTGGTTATAAAAAGCCAAAATATCTGATATATTGCATGAACGTATTATTGTACTATTCTATAAGACATACCTATTATCACACAAGTATCTTGTTCTTTACATCCAATATCATCCAAGTTAAATCTTATTTTGCATACAATTTGATTAAAATCTATTGATCCAATTTTTTGACATAATGTATAACAAATTGATGAAATTGACATAATGTATAATAAGTCTTAATATAATAAGTTTATATTAAATTATATCAGCTGTTTTAATTTCCAAAATATTTTATTTGATAGTTGTATTCACAGTACAATAGCTTTATATTATAGTTACTAATATGCAATTTGCAATTTCTTTTACATGGCACATAATTTTTGACACATTATTTATTTTTGTGTACTATAAATGTCAAAAAATTAAAATGCAAATATATTTTGTCAGAATTCTATGAACTTATTAAAAGGATTTTTATTAATATCATTTATTGCACGACAGGATATTATCGCGTTAATTATGACAAAACAAATTGGCAATTAATTACGAAATACCTTACCTTTGACAATTATGCGAATATACATGTTCTTAATCGTGCTAAACTTATCGATGATGCCTATCATCTTATGACAACACAACAACTCCAACCCATAATATTTTGGGATTTGGTGGAATATCTAAAAAGAGAAAAAAGTTACATTGCATGGTATCCTATGATTAAAGCTTTAGAAGATATGTCGAATATGATACCATATTTATATGAATCAAACGTCGTTTTTATTAAGGTAAATAAGAATATAATAATTTTTACTATATAAATGTTTTACATAAAACTAAAATTTGGAAAATTTAGTATATTTTATATGCAATAACGTAATAGTTAAGAAATTATAATTATCATCATTAAAGCTGTATGTATTTATGCAATATTAGATATTCTTGAATCTGAAAAAGATCTTAAGTGCGACTAAGAAACGCGTTGGTAGTTATTATTTAGAATAAAATGTTTTAATTACTGTATTATTATATTTTCACCTACCTTGAGAAAATAACCACAATCAAATGCAATATCCTATATTTGCATTGCTTAATGATTTTTAGGAAAGAATGGCACTTATCTTTTCTGAACTACTCGATTATTTAACTTACGATGAATCTAGCACTGATGACTACTTAACCAAATGTTTAAGACTAGAAGCCATAAAATGGGCATGTACTTTGGGTAGCAGAGAATGCAAACTTGCTATTTTTGACAAATTACATCAACATATCAAAGATCCTAAACAATACAAGTAATATTTCTTACAATTACAAATTTTATGAGAATAACAATTATGTACATATTTCTTACATTTTGGAAGATGCTTGATTAATTAAAGAATTTTTGTTTACTTCTTTTTATTAGACATTTCCCAGGATGGAAGCAGTGGACATATTGCACAGGTCTGAGCGTGTCTGATATAAATGTTTGGAATCAGGTATTAGACATATACAATAAAGACCCATCTAAAAAAGAAGTTTTGGAAGTTCTGGCTTGTTCTGAAAACATTACAATTCTTCACAATTATCTGCAAAACATGATCACTGAAAATATAACGTTAAAAATATTAGTCGACCCAAAAACTCGTGCTTATATTTTTTTAAATATTATTTCGAGGTATGCGAATAACCCGGATCTGATTACGTCAATATTTTACGATACTCCAAGTCTTATACCACGGTAATTTCATTTTTCTACATAATTGCATGATATTAGTCATTTTTAATTTGGTTTCTTATACTAATTATTTATATTTGTCTTGTTGATACAGCGAAATTAAGCCATCTACATTGTTATGTTATATCATTAATGAAGTGTATGATGTTGATATTTTTCCAATGGTAAATATAAACTTAAATAAATACTAGCTTAATTTATCAGTTTCTTAATATTAAACTTATTTATCTTTGTACACGTCATAATCATATTTTATCTTTCGGTGATGTTAAAATCTTATTTAACTACAAAATTATATGTCACGTCAAATTCTTATAGTGCAAGAATAAACTGACTATTGATAATCAACATATGAAACAATCTGTTTTAGATAAATAATTTTACGGAAGTTTATAACCCAGAAATAAAGAAAGAAGTTGAACTCAAGATAAAACAACGCTCATTTGTGCTTCATTTTAAAAAACTTACAAGAAATTGGAATTTTGATATGTAACCATAAAAATTGATAGGCCTAGCCATTTAAAAACTACAAACTTTTAAAACTTACATTTTAAACAAAGAAGTGATCTCGAATGTTAAAATTTACATTTTATTTATTTTTTTGTTTTAGCTTTTTCGCCGGTGTCCCTAAAAGTTTCATGCTTTTCCCTGAATTATTGTTTTGTTGTATTCACTTTTTTGTCTAATAATAATTTTTCCGCGTACTTAATGTTGTTATCCTATAAAAATGACTTTTATTATATAAAGTGACATTTTATTACAATGTATTTATCCGTTCCATCGTAAGTAAAAAACGAACAAAAAATAGATATGTAAAAGCTACATATTAAAATATTATAACACATTTTCTCTAAATATAGGTATCTGCGTAAGAACAATTTTGCCATTCACGAAAAATATAAAAAATTAATTATTGAATTTTACTCGTGTAACAAATATCATAATGTATATGTAGTATTAATATAATGTACACGTTTCGAGAGAAATAATTCTAAATGTGAGAAAGAATTGTCTTGATTTTGTCATTTTCAAGTATAATATATACCTTTATTACACGCATGCGCTCGACTTTATATATTTAACTAACATAATTAACTATGTATTCATGATACCTCCTTTCGATGCTACTATTGATTCTCGTTGACTTCTCGAAGTGATGAAATATCACATTCAACTGTATTTCTGATATTAACAGTATATATGATAGCAATATTGCAGTATTAATCATTTTGGTACAAATAGCATTTTAATAAACACATAATTTAAATACATACAGTGAGTAAACAGAATATATAAATTTTTATTTCTGAAAGTATATAAAAATATGCAGAATACATCGCTTCAAAGAGTCAAAGTCTAGCATAATTTTATTTTCACAAAGTTATGGATTTCATGTTGAATTATTTGGAAAGCTTCTTATTATTTTACTTTAAATGTATAAAACAAAACTTATCATATATCATTTGATATTCATGTGATATTAATATCCATATAATGCGAGCACTCACGTCATACGAATAACCGATCCTTATTCGTATACGTCATTATAATTCAATTTAACGAGCGGGTGAATACCTGCACACCTGGGTATTTCAAACTTTATATTTTATTAAGCAGTTTCAATTTTATATTAATAATTAATTTTTAATAACATAATGAAAAGAACTCTAAAAATATTAACGATTAAAGATTTAATACTTAAACTTTTTCATGAATTCAGACGGATAACAAAATTTTATCCGTTTTCTATTTATCTTCAAATAAATTTTTATCGAACTTTAATAAGCTTGTATAGAAAGATGTTTGAATTTTGTTACTAATAAATGAACAGCGAAATAAACAATTTTTATTGACGTTTGGTTTAAAGAAAGTGATTAAGGAATTGATTCACGAATTTGAAAGTGAGTGTATAATCGATATGCAATCTTCTCTTGATTACATCAAATAAAAGCTCATTTTTCAAGATTAATTTCTGGCTACGTCCCTGTTACATATCGCGTTCTTACGTAAATGGTTATTTATATATTCTCGTCTAGACTGTTAATTATATAGCATACTTTATCTAAATACATTTTAAATCTATTCTAGATAATTTAAAAAATTTATCTAATCTAAGTTAACGATTTTTTTATATGTTTATCTCGTGTTTGCATTTAGCCGTCTATTATCTCTATAAAAATGAAATAAAAATTGATAAAAACTTGTTTAGCATAAATCATACTTTTTGACATAACAAATAATATCAAATTGTTCAGATAGTATGTGCACGTGAGTTATTTGGCTATTCATAACAGCAGCAACTAACTTTCGTGGAATTTATAAAGCTAGAGTCATTATAACTCGCTTTATAAGCACATATTGAAGATTAAAAAATGTATAATTCGCTCGTTTATATAATTATTAAATAAATGAAAAATATAGTAACTTTTAGAATTTTTTTATTAGACGTATTCTCATTTACATTTATTGTTTTTTGTTAAATATATTTTGCTGTTGCATATGACATGATTCATTCGTTCACATAAGTGAGTTTAATTTAATGTGTCGTGTTTTTGAAGATCAGTGCAGAGTGTAACGAAATGAAAAATTTGAATCTGTTAATAAATCGCTTTATGATTATTCGGTTTATTCAATAAAGAATGTAGTAGAACCAAGAAACGCGATAAAAAAATAGCAAACCCTTTTTTCTTTGCTTATGTTTTTGCGACAATCATGCATTTGTAACATGGTATACACGGTCGGAAGTTTTTATATATCAGACATTCCTAATTATACATCTGCTTGAGATCTGATCAGATAGAAAGAACGCAAAGGAAAAAGAATAAGGCTATAGACGACGATGACGTCTTACTCGAAAATGGCAAATGCAATTATCAAAAACTAAAATATCACACCGAGAATATTTTGATAACGATTCAATGTGGAATTAAATAAAATTTCGAAAAAAAGTATGCTAATTGAAAATTTTTTTTACTGACGATAACAATGTATTATAATTTGTTTCATTATATTTAAAATTAAGCAACAATGTTACTGGCATAATTACAATCTTATTAACATAACGATAATTGCGCTATAAATCAAATAGTCGATTAAGAATCGAGTCGCTGGACCGATCAAAACAACATCGTCGCAATTTACATAACTGCTGGATCATCGCGATTAAACTTGACACGATGCGAATTAAAATCACATCGGTGAATGTATTAAAGCGGCGCGTCGCACACGAACGTTCGCAGTCTTGCGGTGGTTTGCATTGCGCGGATTAATCCTCGCGAGAACAGTGTTAAAGACCTCGGTAAGGATGCACTCATATGCGCTCATCGCATTTTCAAAGAAAAAAATGCCTGCAGAATTTTTCTCGAAATTTTTTTGCGCGTTATATTGTATTTTCATGACGTTTCTCGAGCATGAAATTGCAACGTTAGACTTCGCCGAAGATGGCTTAGGTTGCGAATTTCACTCATCAGAGCGGGATATTAATTACAGCGCGCCGGTACGACTGTATACGCTCGACGCACATCAAATCTCGAGGCTTATCCAATGTTAAGTATTTTTTTTTTTCTTTTATCGATATTATAACTTCTATTTATAGATAACGATATTTAGAAGATGTTATTGGCAAGTTATTCGGCAAGTACTAGCGCGCGAGAGATTAACAACTCTCGCGTATATCTCGTAGATTGACGCAATTGTCTCGTCTCGCCGAACGAACCGCGCAATCGCCTTTATCTATCGCCTAACCGCGTCGACCGATTTAATTTCGAAGCGATGATAAATTTAGATAAAACAACCACACAAATCGTGTAAATCCGGGAGGAGAGCAAGACGCGTGCGTCGCGTTCGAGAGCGGCTTCGCGATGGCATTTCGCAAGGAGATCTTCCGTCCCTGTCTCTGTCGCTTTCTCGCTCTCGTTCTATCTCACATTCGACCGTATTTGGTGTCGTAGAAATTTTCGAGGGCCGAGGTGACGGCGGCGGTAGCGGTGCTTCTTACGTTGACGCGATAAAGCGCGCTTTAAAGGAGGAGGCCGGGAAGCCTGGTGGGGCCCGGGATTGACGTCATTCAATGACGTCAAGCAGAACCGTGCCGAAAGCTTGTAGGAGCCACGCTCGTCAAGCTCGACCGATGAAAAGTATTTTTTTACGAACTCTTATTAACATATGCAATATAATTTTATGTGATTTTACATAAAAGTGACATCAATATCGATCATTGTTAAAAAATTTTTTTTTTTTTTTTTTGTAGAAAATTAAAATAAATTTGAAATTATATTATAATACAAAAATATAAAGCTGATGTAAGAATAAACTTTCGAATATGAAAATTTTATATCTTTCATTTTTAACTCATTATCGCAATCTTCCTTGATACATAAAATTTACATGTTTAGAAAGCAATTCTGAAAATAAAACGAAGCGGTACATAAATAGCCTCTGCATGGCTATTTTTGTATGTTAAAAATTTAAGTATAATATCGCATTATACTGTAAGCAAACATTTACGAGAAAGCAAGAAAAAAACGAAATGTAGAGTTAATGCTACTTCAATTAATACGACATAATCTCGCGGCTTAAGGAAAATTGATAGCTATAATCTCGTCCACCGCTAACGTCGGTTTTAATTCCAGTCCAGTTAATCTGCTGTTATTTCCGTCTTGCGGTCAAAATAAAGAACGGAAAAGTTTGAAGCCGCCGACTCGCGCTTGTTCCGCGACTTTGTTCCCGACGTTTGCAGCGATTTATAGCGCTCTTTAGGAAAGCGTTTCAATCTCGCGCTCGGGTCGCGCTTTTTGCGAGACAGGCTACCCGAGTAATTGGACATCATGATTGCTCCCACTCGAGGCTGGTTATTTATTCAGTGAACGGAGTGTTTATATCGAGACGATGCTTGACGCCTCGAACGAATCGCGTGCGCGCACGCGGGCACGCGGATGCAACGTGCGGCGAAAATTCTAATCGCTGTCGTTCGCCAAGTGTTTGTAACGCGATAATGCCGACTCGCGCACACACAGTGTCGGTGTCTCCTCGTGGCTGTGTCGCCAAGACGATGATTCACGAAATTATTGCCGCGATTTTACGACAATCCGCGTGCGCGATTCTCCCCTTCCTCCCTCCTCTCCCGCGGCAAAAATAGTCCGCGATATGCGCGGGTGAATCTCGTTTGTTATTTTATGGGATGGGACAGTTCTAAAATTGAAATGATTAAAGACGTGACATAACGTGCAGTAAAAAAATGAAAAAAAAAGAAAAAATCAGATATTGTGACAATAAAAGCAGACATCATGTACAATGTCACATATATTACACTATTACGCGGTTGTTTTTTACAACGTAAAGATAGAAAAAAATTTTTACTGGGAAATAAATTCAAATTAATGTTAACATGTACATGATAATGATAGATAACACCAAGGATAATTATTAAAATATATTTTCCTTTCTAATCTCTTTAATCATCGATATATAGTATTTGCATTACACGCTAATATTTGCACAAATTTGAAATTAATAATAAAAGTATTTTAAGATTTTAAGAAAGTATTTTAAGAATTAAAGATTTTTCTGGTTTACATCAGAATGATTAAAAAACGTTGAAACTGAATTCTCTTCTAGCAATCATATATTCTTATCGAGACTACATCGAAACAATATTCTTGGCAGATCAATATGATTTTTGAAATAAACAAAAATATAAAATTAGAACAAATAAAAGTATGCACATGTCGACGCATGTGCAAAAATAGGAACAAAGACGGGAAAATGAAAAGAATAAAATGTGCATCGTATGCAGCGTTTGTCATGCAGCGCGCACGAATGCAGCTAAAGGTTAAAAGAGTGCCTGTTGAATGAAAAATATAATAGCTCGCGACCTCGACGTGCAATATTCAGTCCAAGTTGTCCTCGTAAAAAAATATAACAATGCTGACGATGTGCAGCGAGTAGAAGGCGAGTACATTCACGGTTGCCATTATTATATAATAATAATCTGTTTATTCGTGACGAGTGTGCATAT